CCCCCCCCCCCCCCCACCCCTCAGTGGTCGAGAACGCCCTCAACCGTGTCTCCCACATTTCCCGCAACTCATCCCTCACACCCCGTCCACGCAATAAAAACCAAAAAAGAATCCCCCTCGTCCTCACGTACCACCCCACCAACCTCCGGATCCAATGCATCATCCTCCGACACTTCCGCCATCTGCAATCCGACCTCCCCACCCTTATCTGCTTTCTGGAGGGACCACTCTCTCCGTGACTCCCTTGTCCACTCCACACTCCCCTCCAGCCCTACCACACCCAGCACTTTTCCCTGCAACCGCAGGAAGTGCTACACCTGCCCCCATCCCAGGCCCCAAGAAGACTTTCCACATCAAGCAGATGTTCACCTACACACCTGCCAATGTGGTATACTGCATCCGCTGTACCCGGTGTGGCCTCCTCTACATCGGGGAAACCAAGCGGAGGCTCGGGGACCGCTTTGCAGAACATCTACGCTCGGTTCGCAATAAACAACTGCACCTCCCAGTCGCAAACCATTTCAACTCCCCCTCCCATTCCTCAGACGACACGTCCATCCTGGGCCTCCTGCATTGCCACAACGATGCCACCCGAAGGTTGCAGGAACAGCAACTCATATTCCGCTTGGGAACCCTGCAGCCCAATGGTATCAATGTGGATTTCACAAGCTTCAAAATCTCCTCTCCCCCCTACTGCATCCCAAAACCAGCCCAGCTCATCCCCACCTCCCTAACGTGTTCTTCCTCCCACCTCAAGCCGCACCCCCATCTCCTACCTACTAACCTCATCCTGCCCCCTTGACCTGTCCGTCCTCCCTGGACTGACCTATCCCCTTCAGAACTCCCCACCTACACGCACCTTTACTGGCTCCATCCCCACTTCTTTGATCTGTCTGTCTCCTCTCCACCTATCTTCTCCTCTATCCATCTTCTATCCGCCTCCCCCTCTGTCCCTATTTATTTCAGAACCTCCTTCCCCTCCCCCATTTCTGATGAAGGGTCTAGGCCTGAAACGTCAGCCTTTCTGCTCCTATGATGCTGCTTGGCCTGCTGTGTTCATCCAGCTCTGCACCTTGTTGTCTAAGCGCAGATGCTGTCAGGAATAACATCAGCATGGATAAAGAACGTTAACAGGAAACAGACAGCAGGGATCACTAAGTCTTTTTCAGATTGGCAAGTTCCAACCAGTAGCGTGCCATATGGAACAATGCTGGTGCTTCAACTATTTACAGTGTACACCAAAAGATTTGGTTGGAAGGACTGACGCAAGTTAAACTTGCTCATGGCATCAAGATTGGTGGGAAAATAGGTTGACAAAAGTGAGGTTAAGTGTCTACATGGGGATATAGATAGGTTAAATGAATGGGCAAAATTTGGCAGATAAGTATGGTGTGGGAAACATAAATCTGTCTGTTTTGGAATGAAAAGCAGAAAAGCAGCAGGAGTGATCTTATCAAAAGAAAATCCTGAGGGACTTGACTGGATGGATACCTGTATGAGCAGGAAGTCTTCTTTTGTCAAAGAGTTTAGAAGGTTCACTTTGAACGTGAATATAAGGATTTTTTTTTTTGCTGTCTGAGAACATTGGTCTGTTATTCTCTTGCCCAAAATGCAGCAGAGGCCGAGTCATTGAATTTGTTCAGGGCAGAGTTAGTTTTTTGATAGACAAATAAGGCAAGAATTAAGAGGAAGGCAAACAAAAAAAAGTGGAGGAGTTAAGGAGGAGAAAACAAGTATCAAATGGAGGAGTTTTAAAAAGGCAAATGAACTGAAAGTCAAAAGGTTGAGGTGTAATTATTTTATGATGAGCGAAGTCCTATAAATAAAAAAAAAAAAAAGAGGATATTGGATCCTCAGGCTTAAGCAGAAACTTAAATACAAAAAGGAGGTAATTCTAAGCTTTTACAAATTGTTTAGGTTAAGTGTCAGAGGTGGCTCACTGGCAGTATCCTTGCTGTAACTGTCCAGCTTGTTGGTGGACTTTAAATCCAGCTGATATTCACAGGCTTATAATTACAAGTAAGAGAAACCAGGCAGTTTCACAAGAACCATACAGAGGAAGTGTTTAGCGTTGGAAAGATAAGTGGGAAGAATTAACTTCCTGCTTAATAACTAACGAGAAAGAATAAAAATTGATGACCATTATCAAAAGGAGAAAGGGAAATAACAGCATTAGACCGTGAGATATAGGAGCACAATTAGGCCCTTCAGATTCTGCTCCACCATTCAATCATGGCTGATATGTTTCTCAATCCCATTGTCCTGCCTTGTCCCATAACCCTTGATCCTTTTACTAAAAAAGAACCAATGTCTTAAAGACACAATGACTTGGCCGCCAAAGCATTCTGTGGTAATGAGTTTCATAAATTAACCACCCTTTAACTGAAAAAAATTTCTCATCCCAGTTCTAAAGGGTTGTCCCTTCACTCCAACTGTGCCCTTAGGTCCCAAGTCTCTCCTACTAGTGGAAACATCTTCTCCACATCCCCTCTCTCCAGGCCTCTAAGTTTCAATCAACTTTCTAAACTCCATCAAATGCAGACCCAGAGTCCTCAACTCGTACTCAAATGACAAGCACTTGATCCCTGGCATCATTCTTACAAAACTCCTCTGGACTCCCTCCAATGCCAGCACATCCTCCCTTAGATAAAGGGGCCCAAAACTGCTCAGTATTTTAAGTCTGCTTAGGGCCTTGTACAGCCTTGGCAGTCTATCTCTACGTTTGTATTCTAGCCCTTTCAAAATGAATGCTAACTATGCATTTGACTTCCCAACTGCCAATTGAACCTGCATGCGTTATCTTTAAGAGAATCCTGAACAAGGACTCCCAAGTCCCTTTGTACTTCAGATTTCTGAAGCCGTTCTCCATCTAGCAAATAGTTTATTTCTACATCTCTGTTCTTCCTACCAAGTGTATAATCTCAGATTTTCCCATATTGTATTCTGTCAGCCACTGCTTTGCCCATTCTCCTGGACTGGGCAAGTTCTTCTGCAGCCTCCCTACTTTCTCAACACTACCTGTCCCTCCACCTGTCTTGGTTATCTACAAATTTAGCAACAACACCCTCAGTTTCCTCATACAGATGGTTAACATATAACATGAATAGTTGTGGTCCCAACACTGACCCCTGCGGAACTCCATTACTCACCAGCTGCCATTCCTGAAAAAGATCCTATTTATCTCCACTTACTGCCTTCTGCCAGTTAGCCCATCATGTATCCATGCCACTACCACCGACTGTCATCTTACTTAGCAGCCTCCTATGCACCACCTTGTCAAAGGTCTTCTGGTAATCTAAATAGATCACGTCCACTAGCTGTCCTATGTCTTTCTCAAAGATTTCGAACAGATTTTTCTGGCACAACCTCCCCTTGGAGCCATGCTGACTCCACCCTATTTTACTATGTACTTCGAACGGACTCTACAATCTTAACCATGATAGAGTTTAGGCTAAACAGCCTATAAATTTCCTGACTTTTACCTTCCTCCCTTCTTGAACAGGGGCTGTTACATTAACCATTTTCCAGTCCTCTAGGACCTTCCCAGACTCCAGTGATTTCTGAAAGATCACCACTAATGGCCCCACTATCTCCTCTTAGAACTCTGGGGAGTAGTCCATCTGGCCCGGGTGATTTAACCACCCTCACACGTCCCAGCTTCCCCAGCACCTTACCCATACGACAGTCACTTCACTAACCTCTGCCCTGGACTTGAAGTTTTGGTATGCTGCTGTCTTCCACTGTGAAGACTGATGAAAAGTATCTTAGTTTGTTATGCAAAAAGCTGTGAAGAGTGAAAATCCCTACCAGAATAAAAAAGAAATAGACCCAGAATCCTGAACAGCTTTTAAAAAGGAAATGGATAACTATTTGAAAAAGAAAAGCATTAAAGGATATATGAAAAAGGCAAAATAAGGGATCTGTGTGAGTAGCTCTTTCCCCAAATTAACAAAAATGGGATTTCCTTCTGTCAGCTGTGAAGTCCAGTGATGCAATAGTAACTTAGAAATCATTGAAAAACTTGGTAAAAAGCTAAGCCAAGGCAAAATACTTCCCTACAAGAAAAGAGACAACATTAGAGGTGAATTGTTCTCTGGCCCTCACCTTTATGCCTCTGGAGATTGGTTATAGACTGGCATAGAGTGAAATTTGGATCCTCACAGTCAAGTATATACTGAGTACCATCAAAAAGATCAGAGGTTAATTGTCCTCTGACTGCATTTTCTCAATCTTCTTAAAATATCATACGCTGGCAACATTGAAACAAGATGTTTAACATTGTTAAAGAGGTGAATGAATATGTCTAATTACAGGAGATTGCCAGCAAAACCAGACAGTGGTGAGGAAGAGTTTCTGAAGAGCTGCCGTTCCAATGAGAGCGAGCTTGAATCCCTCCCCTGCTTGTATACAACAGTGGAAGCTGATACATGGGGCAACATCAAGGAGCTCATCAAAATTATCAAAGAGAAAATCATCGAGGAACAGAGAAAGACAGTCTGGATTGATCAAGATCAACTCTAGGATTTCACTGACTGTAACCAACAGGATTTAAACCAATAACAAATCCCTTGCCATGCATGAACTACCAAACAGTAAGTCAGTCCTGCAGGAGGGATTCGGAGGATGCTTTTTGTAAGCAATCGATGATGATTCTTACATAGCAAGGTAGCTTTGTTAAAAACACAAAATGCTCAGAACACCATTTTTTAAACAGACAAAAACTTGTATTTTTTTAAAAAAGGTGAATACCACAATGAAAACGCTTTTCCTTATTATAGTGCCTTAGAAAGAATTCTTGAGATGCAGCTGTAGGTGACTGCATCATTTACAGAGGAAGAATGCTACCGAGAAAGAAAGAATTATCTCTTTAAATCCTCACTGTGTTGCTTACATGATTGCAAGCTCAAAGCCAAGGTGGTGAAATAAAAGCTTGAGCAATAAGAGCTTAGTACTCAGGTACTTCACACTCACCCATCCGTGTTTCTATAAAGAGATTTGAGGAATTATATCTGAGTACAATGTTTTAGTCAGTAGAGGAGTGGGGAATTACTTTGGTAACCTGATCCATTTATGCATTCCTGCTGTTGTTGGATCAAGGTTTCAAGACATCCACGAAGAGGTTGTATTCTAGAGTACCCTGACTTCCAAATGTAAACCAACATGGCATTGGAGTGGAGTATATTCCAATATGCACAAGCTGTCACAGAGCAAGTAGTGTTTTTTTTGTACAAACATACAGGTTTACAATTTAACTATACAAAATACATGGAGGGAATTTCCTCTGTGGTGAATTAAGACTTTTTAATAAAAAAGGGAGGGGAACTAGAGAAGTCAAAAAGGAAAAGTATTTGAAAAATTATAGGTTAGAATTTCCATATGGTTGAATGGGAGATATGCCAAGCCATGAGATTGCAGATGGCGCTGGAGTGCAATTTTGCTGCCGATGGCGGCCTACAGTGCCTCATGGATACCCAGTCTTGATCTGTTTGAAATCCATTCCATTTAGCAAAGTAATAGTACCACACAACAAGATGAAGGGTATTCTGAACACAAAGGCGGGTCTTGGTTTCCACAAGAACTGTGCAGTGGTTGCTCTTACTGATACTGTCATGGACAGATGAATCTGCTGGCTGCAGATGCACAAAGGAGGAGATAGAGTATGTCTTTCCCTTTTGTTGGTTCCCTCAACCACCTGCCACAGACCCAGTCGAGCAGCAGTGTCCTTTAAGGCCCAACCAGGTTGATCAGTAGTGCCGTTGTCAAGCCACGCTCGGTGGTGTACATTAAAATCCCCCACCCGGAGTATATTTTACACCCTTGCCACCCTCAGTTCTTTCTTTAAGCGCTGCTCAAGGTTGAGGAGTACTGATTCATCAGCTGAGGGAGAACAATACGTGTTAAACAGCAAGAAGCTTCTTTACATATTTAACCTTAAACCATGAGACTTCATGGGATCTGGAGTCAATGCTGAGGACTCCCAGGGCAACTCCCTCCTGACACTACACCAATGTGCCGCCACATCTGCTGGGTCTGTCCTGCTTGTGGGACAGGACATATCCAGGGATGGTGATAGGGGTATCTGGTATATAGTCGTACTTACCATGTCAGGCTTTTTTGATTCATCCGAGAGACAGCTCTTCCAATTTTAGCACTAGCCCTCTGACATTAGTAAGGAAGACTTTGCAGGATTGACAGGGTTGTTTCTTTTGTTCTTTTCCAGTGCCTAGGTCAAAGCCAGGTAGTCTGTCCAGTTTCATTTCTTTGCCACCTTTACACATCCATCCCTTTCCCACAAACTCTGCCCAAGATTCCTATTCCTCACTGGTCCTGAACCTGCATCTAATGTCTGTTTCCCCCAAAGTCCTCTTCAAGCTCTAACTTTCCCTTGATTTAGTTTCAACTAAACTATTGACCATCCAACTTTTCTTTCTGATTCCTGTGCTTATGACATGACATCATTGTTGTTCCTTTCAAGCACTGTCCTCCTTCCTTTCAAAAAACTCACCCTAGATCTCTAACTTTATTACCCATTCAATCTCCCTTTCCTCTTCAAAAGAACTTTGAATATGTTGTTTTCATTCAAATCAGGGCCCATTTTCCAGCAACCCATCTGAATTTTTCCAATTAGGTTATAACAATACTGAAGTGGCCTTTAACCAACATTCTATCAGAGTCTCTGCACAGAAGGACAAAAACTGCAAATACAAGGGAACATCAGTACCCGCAGAGTTCACTTGCAAGCACCTCACTAGGCTGGCTTAGAACTGTGTCATTCGGTCAAAATCCTGGAAATCCATTACTGACAGCACCATTGATGTCCCTACATCACAGGTAACACAACAGTTCAAGAAAACTGCTCACCATCACCTTTAAAGGCAATTAGGGATGGGAAATAGATGCTGGCCTAGCCAACAACACCCACACACAGTACATGAATGAGAATAAAAAGTCACAAACTATTGCTTTCCGAATGTAATTATGGTGCACTAACTCATTTCATTCTTCTCCCCCTTTCTTCAGCCTTCGAAAATGGGAAATCACACCATCCTCTTCTAGCACTTTATCTCAATGGAATTCCCTTGCTTGATCACACTTACCTGGCCATAACAGTGGTTTCTATTCTTGCCCTCACTGGACTCTTATAGGGTTCTAAGCTTGTCACTCCTCTGTGAGCTGCCCTCTGGCAATGTCACATGAAGACATATCAGCATTCATGTAGAACATGATGCTGACATCTACCTCCATCTCGCCACTTAGTCAGACCTTTCACTGCTTGTGTTATCAGTCTGCATGTCTAACATCCAGTTCTGTCCATCCACTCTAAATTTCTTCCAAATGAGTTTAAGATTGAAACCATGATATTTGGTCCCCTGAAAACTTCATTCCCACCACAATCATTGGTTGAAACCAACACTTTACAAACAATGACATCCTACTTGACCCTGAGCTTAGCTTCAGATCTCATTCCTTTCAACATCAAAAAAAATCTTATTTTTTCCCACACAAGGCCCACCTTGATATCCATCTCTTCAACCAAAGATTTAGTCACTCCTAATGTCATCTTTGGTTTTGTGTCAAATATCTGCCTGATTACACTCACGTGGAATGTCTTTGCACATTTCCGTAAAATCATAGGAGGTAGGAGCAGAAGTACGCCATTCAGCCCACCAGGTCTGCTCTGTCATTCAAGGAGATCATGGCTTATCTGAATTCTCAACTCGTTACCTGCCTTAATTGATAATGCTTGATTCCCTTACAGATGAAAAAAAAATCATCTCAGCCTTGAACATTTTTGATGACTCAGCTTCAACAGCCCACTGTGATATGGAATTCCACAGATGCACAACCTTGTGAGAAGAAATTCCTTCTTGCATCAGTCTTAAATAGGTAGCCCCTTCCTCTTGAGATTATGCCCTCTGGTCCTAGACTCTCCCACAAGGGAGAAAAATCAACCTCTCCACATCTACTCTTTCAAGCCCCATTAGACTCTTGTATTTCACTCTTCAAAATTCCAATGAGTGTAGGCCCAAACTACTCAACTTCTCCTCACCTGGGAGAAAGCAAGTGAGCCTTCTGTTGAAGGCCTCCAATGCCAGTATAAGTTGGTTATGTAAGGTGACCAAAACTGTTCATTGTATTCTAGGTGTGGCTTGACTAATGCCTTGTATAGTTTTTCAAGACTTCCCCATCACCTGAACTTGGATGTTAGCTTTTGCAATTTATGCACATGATTTTTTTTTTTAAAAAAAGGAACACTTGTTCATGAGGTGCTAGCATCATTGGCTAGGCTGGCATTTATTGTCCATCCCCAAGAAACAGCCACGTTGCTGTAGGTCCACAGTCATGTGTACCAGACCAGGCCATGATTGCAGATTTCCTTCCCTAAATGGCTATATGCCAGCTTTTCATTGAATTCTACTACAGCGGATGGTGAAATTCCAATTCAAACTCATGTCCCGAGGACATGAGCCTAGGGTTCTGGATTACTTGTCCAGTGATATCGTCATTATGCCAATGCCTATCTTGGAGGTGCAGCTTTCTACACTCTCACCATTAAATAACATTCAGCTTTTCTATTCTTTCTGCGATCCAAAAGGTGCATAACCTTCATTTTCATACATTATGTTCCATCTGCCAAGTTTTTGCCCATTTGCTGAACCGGTCTATATCCCGCTGTAGAGTTTGTCTCATCCTCACTACTTGTCCTTTTACCTAGTTTGCAGATGACACAAAACAGGTGGTAGTGTGTATACTTATCTCATCCAAGTCATCTATATAATTATGGCCCTGGCACTGGACTAGTTAGATTGCAATGCTAAAAATGACCCCTTTATCCTAACTGTCTGTCCTCTAGCATAAATAGATGATTCTCTCTTTTTAATAATGTACTACCCCAGATCACAGTGGATTCTTAACCTATTAAATAGCCTGAAAGGTGGTACCTCATTGAATGCCTTTTTCAAAATCCAAATGTGTTACGTTGACTCGTTCCCCTTTACTATCCTACTTGATTGCTCTTCAAAGAATTCTTAAAATTTGTCAGACAATTTCCCTTTCATGAAGTCATGCCAACTCTGCTTTATTATGCATTTCTAAATGTTGTATTGTATCTTTCATAAAATAGCTGCAAACATTTTCTCATTGACATATTAAGCAATAGTTAACGTTTTTTCTGTCCGTCTGTTTTTTGACCAAGGGGTCTTGCATTTCACAATTTTCCAATCTTCTAGGACTTTTCCAGAATCTAAGGATTCTTCATGATTATTACATGTGCATCCATGTTATAATAAAGCAAAGTATAAACAGATGATGCTGGAAACACTCCTTATGTTAGGAATGGTTAATAGTTCAAGTTGATGAACTTTTGTCATTATCTTAGGTCTACGTTTTCTTTAAAACCTGAACTGTTATCCTACCATCCTTTCTGCTTCCTGACCAGCCACATAGAGTCATAGAAATATACAGCATGGAAACAGACCCTTCAGTCCAACTTGTGCATGCTGTCCAAATATCCAAATTAATCTAGTCGTATTTGCCAGCATTTGGCCCATATCCCTCTAAACCCAATCCACGTACCCATCAGTTGCCTTGTAGTGCTCCAATTGTACCAGCCTCCCCCACTTACTCTAGCAACTCATTCCATACATGCACCACCCTCTGCCTGAAAAAGAGACCCAAGGGGCAACTTTTACATCTTTCCCCTCTCACCTTAAACCTATGCCCTCCAGTTTTGGACTTCCCTAACCTGGGGGAGACAAACAGCCATTCATGTTGTTGCTGTTGAATGCAACAGTAATATGCCTTAAGTTCCTCTTTCAACCATACAAAGACTGACATGATGTTACACTGAAATACATTGCCTGGGATAATTTTGTATATTGTGAATCCGAAGTGTTCTTTGATGCCTGACATTCCTGTTAGCCTCACTTTACAGTATTAGATGTTGGTAACTTTCAAAATCTACTGATTGTTGATTTTGAAAACTGCAGAGAATGTTTGATCATTTTCTAGTGGAGCTCAGAAGGAAGAATGTGAAACTAGTGAAATAGTTGAGTACCTTACCATCTTGTAGAGTTTTGTATCTGTAGGAAGGGTGGTATTTTATTCCTGCCTTCTCAAAAAAGTGGAATTTTGTTCTACAGTAAAGTCCTGCTGTTCTTGTCTTCACCATTTGCCAGTTAATTATCTGTACAAAACATTATGTATACCATATTGTCCATTGCAGGTCCAATGTTTACCTTTGTTATTTTCGACAAGGTTTTTTTTAAAAAAAATGTCAGCAACAGAAAAATCACAAATGAATGTAAGAAAAAGATTAAGATATTAAAAAGTGTCCATGACAAACTGCACTGTTTTCTCTCAACTAACAAATATGCAGTTCATATGTTTTTTGCTTTGTTGCTTACTGAAGTTTTTGTATATTTGATCATTTTTGTCATGACAGTGCATTTTGCTAGAGAGCCTCAAGGGTAAATATGATTTTTAAAAAATTTTATTTAACCATCTTTCCAATAGAATTTTTTTATTATCTCTAATCTCTATTAAACTTTAGAATTGTTGGAACATATCCAGTTAGTTAGCATTATGAAATCTTAGTTATTTGCATGATTTTCCAAGAATGTAAACCCTGCAAAGAGGAAAATACACTGAACTCAAATGAAAATTCATTTGATTCCTATTGCTCAACATTTTCCTCAAGTGAAGTGTAGTGATTTCTCCATTGTTTCTAATGTCATACCAGTGGTTCTGATATTTGTTTAATTAACATGATTATACAAAATAAGCAGGATGGAGTATTTTATATAAACAGTGCAATAATGACAAATAATCTGAGAGTGCGTGTGGCGAAGTGTTCCCTGCTTCTGTATCAAAATGAATGTAACTGCGGCTAGTGTCACAACTGCCCATGACACTAGTATTAATCACTGCCCTTTGTCACTCAAAATTAGTTCACATTCCATCCCACTAGCAACAAATGAAGATCCTCTCTTAGCAATAGTTTGAGAATTCCAGAGACTGACATTTGGGATTTGAAGCTTTATTCCACAATGCCGAGGTAATTAAGTGGCGCAACAGTTGCTATATCTAATGACAACACCCTTCTTTTTGGCAACTGCCACTAATCCAGTTTATGACCAGACTGTAGCTCTGTCTGATTCAGCAAAGTTGCAAGCCTAAAGTTGTCGGATCTCCTTTAAGTTAATGGCATTTACTGCATTCTAAACTACTTCAGCACAAGCTCAGTTTTATACCAGGCTTCCCACAAAACCATCAGCAGCCAAAACAAAGGATGTAGAAAGACTGATAGCAAGCCACGATTTGCTTCTGCTTTGACTCAATCCAGTGATGTTTGACATGATACTGAGGAATTCAATTCTGCATCAATCATTAATCCAATGTCCACTGGTGCAAACTGGAGAAAAGATCCATACTCTGTGGTGCCTTGCTTCATTAAAAGTCCTTTTTGAGGACTAATAGCATTGTTGCATTAAAATCCCGAGAGATGAGGAGATCACGATCATGTCACCTCATCTGAAGATGAATCTGAATGAGGCATACTTACATTTTCTACCTTTTCCCATTGTGTCTTCTGTAGCATGATCCGAAACCCTTCCTTCAAAATATGAATGTAAGCAAGGAGTGCACAAATCTGTTAAAGTTTGTAGCATTCTATTTGATTAGTATGGATTGTTAGATGAACATGTTAAAATAAAATTTTTAAAACAATTTTATTAATAAAATCTGTGTCTTTGCTGATCAAATACTAATAGCAGCATGTATCAGTCTTTTTCCCCAGAGTCAGCCTACTAATACCTAGCTTCTCCATGTAGCACAAATGCAAATTTGAACTTGTATGAAATTTGACTTTGTAGCCTTTTCCAGTCCTGCAGCCCCTTTCTCTAAATTCCTTAATACCTCTTGAACATCCCCAATTTTACATCACATCAACTTCAGTATAATACTTTAAAGCTATAAGGACCCTGGAATTCCCTTCCCAAAATTCCCCACCTCTCTGTCCTACTTTAAAATGCTCCCTTGCAACTCATTTGCCCAAGCACGCGGTCGACTATCTTGACATCTCCAAAAGCAAACACACTGCTGGAAACACTCCATTTCTGGTAGTATCTGGAGTAGAGAGAAACAGCATTAACATTTCATTTTGTCACCTTTCAGCAGAATGGGGAAAAGTTGCCAACACAATAGCTTGTAAGTTGCTGGAAAGGTTGGAAAAAGAACAAAAAAAGAAATGAAAGGATAGGAGACATTAAAAGTAAAGAAACAAAAAGATGGGTCCAGAAGAGTTGTGATTGGCACAATAGTTGCTGTCCCAGGACAAAAAAATTGAAAGGCAATGTGTAAAGAAAAGGAAACAATAGGATAGCAGAGCTTCCAGTCTAAAGTTACTGAACTCAATATTGATTGCAATGAGGCCGTGTAGAGTGCTTAATCAACAGGTGCCTCGAGTTTATTGGAATACCATAGCAGGCCAAGGATAGAGATTACAGTATGAGAGCAAGATGGTGCATTAAAATAGCAAGCCACATGAAGCTTTGAGTCATGCATTTGACTGAAGAGAAGCATTCCACAAGACAGTCACCAATTCTGCAGAGATAGTGAGAACTGCAGATGCTGGAGTCAAGAGATAAAGTGTGGATGGAAGAACACGGCAGGCCAGGCAGCATCAGAAAATGAAGAAGGGTCCTGACCAGAAACATCAACTGTCCTGCTCCTCTGATGCTGCCTGGCCTGCTGTGTTCCTCCAGCTCAACACTTAATCACCTATTCTGCATTTGGTTTTCTAAATGTAGGGGAGACCATAGGGTGAGCAGTGAACATTGTACACTAAACTGAAAGAAGTGCACAAGAAGCTTTATCCGAAAGGAGTGTTCGGCACCTAGCAAGGGGAGGGAAAGAGATAAAACGGCAAGTGTTACATCTGTATTTGTGTTGACATGTGCACTTTGAAGGGTGCAGGGTATTAAGAGTACTGAATGGAACTAGGCTGTTGCATAGGTAACAGACCCTTTGAATTGCTCATCAGGGGAGGGAAAAAAAAATGGAATTGAAGATTGCAGTAATGGTGGAAATTCAGTACAGTGGGTTAGAACAGACAATAAGGACAAGTGGAACTTTACCATAGTTCTGACAAGGAAGTAAAGAGTCGAGAGCAGACGTGAGAGAGATGGGTTGGACATAGTCAAGTGTACGATCAGTTTTGAGGGTGACTTCTAAATAGAGGAAAATGTGGAAATTATAAAATCATCAGGATAGATAAAATGAAGAAATTGGGAGAATTAATAGACTCCTTAAAAGATTTAGAATGAGGAAGTGCAGTTGAGGAAGCTGTGGGCGGGGGTGTGGGTGGGGGTGTTGGGGAGCAGTGAACTTATAACAAATTAATGAATAATGACATTCAACATATATCTAAATTACGAGGAAGGGACCAGTTGGTTCTTTGAACTTACCCCACTATGCAATAAGATCATGACTAATATGGTTGCTCCTACCTGAGGAGCTTTCATCTCCTGTTCATTGAAGCAACTTATCTACCTAAGCCTTAATTTTTTTTTTTTTTTTTTAAATAAAAAAGACTCTCTTTCTCAAAAGAGAGAGTTGTGAAAGTAGAGTTCCACAGACCCATGAGCCTCTGCAAAAGAATTATCCCGATTGGTCTTAAATGGGTGAATTCTTCATTCTAGAATCTCCCAGGCAACATCTTTTCTACATGCATCCGGTTAAGACTCCTAAGGATCTTTTGTTTCCCTTGAGTCACCTAGTACTCTTCTAAACTCCAGTGGATACAAGCCTAACCTTCCATCCTTTCTTCATAAAGCATTCCACCCAATCAAGTTGTTAGTATCACAAACTGTCTCTGAACTACTTCCAAGTGTGTTCATATTCTTCCTTATTTAAAGGAGACCAGTACTATATACCTGAGGCATTACTAAAGTCAGGAGGTTTTCGATACTCCTCTAAAAATGATCATTGCTGTAAGCTTTCCCAATTCCTTGCTGCACCTACATACACAATTTTTGTGATTCATTCATTACGGGGATCTGGGTGCCCGGAGAGGTCTGTAATCTCCCAGCATTTTGATAACATCTCTTCTTCATTCTTTATATCAAAATAAACAACTTCACATTTTCCCACTTTATACTCCATTGTCAGAACTTTATCCACTCACTTAACTTGTCCATATTCCTTTGTAGCTTCTTTTAATGTCTTCTTCACAGCTTACTTTCCTACTTGTGTCATCAGCAGATTTTAACCATACTTGTGGCCCTTCACCCAAATCATTTAGATAAGTGAAAAAAGATACAAAGAAAAAAATTTGGAGTATCAGCACTAAACTGTGTGGCTCACCATGTGTTACATCTTACCAACCAGAAAATAACCCAATTATGTCTGGTCTCTTCTTCTGTTGGCTAGCCAATCTTCTTTCCATATCAATGTTATCCCGTAAACCATGTGTTTTACTTTCTGCAATAGCCTTTGATGAAGTATCTTAATCAAATGCCTTCTGGACATTGGAATACAATATACCCATTATTTTGTTCTTATCTACAAGATGTAACTTCCTAAAGAACTTCAATCAGTTAAACACAACTCCTTTATATACAACCATGCTTATGCTGCGTGATTACCTTGAATTTTAAAGTGCCCTGATAAAATATTTTTGATAATAACTTCAAACATCTTGGTTATGATGGCAGTTAAGCTAACTGGCCTGTTACTAAAGCTTTGTCTCCGCTGACTAAACTTAGAAAAGAGAACTCGTTTAAAAGAAAGGAACCTGCCCTGAATTTAGAGAATTTGGGAAATATGAAATCTCCATTACCTCACCAGCCACTTTTTGTTTTAAAAAACAGAAGATTAAATCCATTGTGAGGCAGCAGTGCTAACCACTAAACCACCATGCTGCCCTATTCTTGCTCCCATTCTTCTCTCCTTGAATTTTGCTTCCGCTTTAGTCATTTTATTCCTTTTTGCTAACTGGGAAGTACCTTCACTATGAAGTCATTAGTTTTATTTTGTTGTGAAATACCAGGTCTAACTCTGGTTAGTTAAGCTGTTCTAATAACCTATACTGAAAACATTCTATGAACTCCCCTTCCAGGCTACTTTTTTCCCCATTTGATTGTGCAAGTCTATACATACTTTGTACTTTTCTGACAGATTATCACGAAGGAGTTTAATGTCCTATTATTTCTTTCTTCTTACACAAACCTATGTTACTATTGGTGGGCCAGTACACCACCCCAAGCAAATTCTTGCCATCATCATTTCTCAATTCTACCCAAAGCACTTCTAATCCTGAACTTAGGTATCCCTCCCTCCTGCTTTGTCTACCTTTTAGTTCTTCCTAAAGGCCACCTACCCTGCAATATTTGGATCATAATCTACGTCCTAATTCTGCACTCAAGTTGGTGTAATGGCTATCAAATCATACTTACCGATTTCCAACTGCATTCTCAGTTCAAGTGTTTGTTTTAATGCTGTGTGCATTCAATACACAGAGCCTATAATGTTGTCCTTTTTATCATATTTGTAACCTCTAGTCTTATCTGTTGATTGAGTCTTTGGTTTGTATTTTACTCCTTCCTGCCCCACAGTCTGTTTTCCATTTAAACAATGTCATTTTCTGCAACTTCCCTATTTTGATCTATTGCCCCAAGAATTTAGGTTACCACCTGTTCTACTTCACTAGTTATGTGGCTCACTATAACACCAACCCCAGCAGAGTTCAGGTGTAGACAGTCCAAAAAAAGGTTCAGACCCTACTTATTCCAATACTGATGCTGGTGCCTCATGAACCAGAACATACTTCTCCCACACAAACCTTTGAGCAATTAATTTTCCAAGCATATTCGTCCAATGCCAATTTGCACATGGCTCTGGTAATAATCCTGAGATTATTTCCTTCCAAGTTCTGCTTCTTAAATTTGGTGTCAAACTCCTTATTCTGCATTGGCAGAAACTTCCCTTGTTCTATCAGAATCTTCAGTACCTACATGATTGGATCCTTGCACTCCTACAGTTCCTCTCCAGCCCTGAGCAGATGTTGACACTGGACAGACAACTCGGCCTTCTGGACTCTTGCTCTTTGCTGAGGAGAATAGTGTCTATCCCTCTCTACGTACCATTGCCTATTACCACATTCTTTGTGCTCTCCTGACTTGAAGGCTCCCTGTATCATGATGCCACATTCATTTAGATCCTCCACGCTGCTCTCCCGTCATTCAAACAAGCTGAAAGACTATCAATCCTGTTGAACAATTACTGAGGCTCATGCACTCCTGCCTCCTGTGTCCCTGTACCTACTTCACTGACAGTCACACACTCCTTTTCCTAAGGAGTGGTCAAATCAAAAGACTTTGTCCCAAGGAGTGGGAACTGTCTCCTGGAGTAAGGTATCCAGGTGATGTTCTCTCTCCTGGAGATGAACTAGGGTCTGTAGTTCAGCCTCCAGCTCAAAGTCGGAGCTGAAGCCACTCAAGCTATAAACACTTACTGCAGTTAATCGATCATGTTTGCTCTGGACATCCATGAACATTTGCTTCCATGAACTCCCACATTCAATGTGAATGTTTCACTTGGAAGGATGGTGTTCCAGTTGCACTAGAACCGTTAGTCTAAGAATGCAACTAGTTCTGGAATAAATCTTCAATGTTACAAACACAATGTTATTTGAGCCCATA